CTTTGCCACAAAAATTAGTTCGCGGACCCAATTGCAACTGGGGCCATAGTTCACGGACGTCTACAGTAATTAACCCTAGATTAAAATGTTATGTCTCAAACCTAAATAATTCAGATCTAGTTACCTCACACAATTAATTAAGATATTTATATAAAATAATAAAAAAACAATTGAGCATATCAAATTTAATTTAATTATTTTTTTGTCAAATAATTTAATTAGTATTCAATAAATAAATAAAACCAATTAACACGATCCGAAACTCTGAATACATGTCGCAGACAATTCCATACTTTGGGTTATTCGCAGCAATGGTCCCTCAACTATACCCGTAGTTACACTTTGGTCCATCAATTCAATTATTAGTTGTCGGAGTCACTCAACTAGGTGCTTTGTTGCACCAATAGTCCTTCCGTCAAGTCTGTTAAATTTTCTGTAAAAAATGAGGGTAAATTCGGAAATTCATGATAAGAAAATATTTTAAAACCTAAAAAAGACATGGCCCTGGAACTCCTCAACGTCGTCGTTTCGGGGAATGGGTCTGTGGCGTCTTCGTCTTCATCATCTTCGCACTATGCATCAGGGTACATCGTGCACCCCGGCACAACACAAAAAGGGCTTTGCCGCATACCCACTTCCTTCCTCTCTCTCGCTCTCTATACTCGCGCTTAGGCTTGGCTACTCTCTCTCTCTCTCTCTCTCTCTCTCTCTCTCTCTCTCTCTCTTCGAACCTCCGTTTCTCTTTGTATTTGTTTGATCTTGTGCTCTCTTCTAATTCAATCTCTCTGTAATTGCGCGTGCGTGTTTGTAAATGGCTGCCGCGAGGATCGAGCATGGTGATCTGTGGAAGAACAAGGCCCTGTCCATACAGCTCCGGCTCAGGGAGCGGTTTAGAGTGGAGGTGGACCGCCGGCTCAAGCTCCACCCTATTTTTACAGACAACGGTTACTTCTCAAATCAAAGCTTTGGTCATCAAGGCTTTGAAGGACCCCGAGCGCGACCTCAAGAAGACTAAGAACATCAAGCACAGTGGAAACATCTCTCTAGAAGATCATGAAGCACATATCCATGGCCAAGGAGCTTGCCGGCACGGTGAAGGAGATTCTCGGCACCTGCGTATCCGTCGGGTGCACGGTCGACGGCAAAGACCCTAAGGATTTGCAACAGGAGATTGCCGATGGTGATGTTGAGATCCCTCTCGACTGGGCTGTTGCTGTGAGGCTCTTTCTTTTTCTTTTGCTGAATTAAATTTTTGTTTAAGGGTATGTCGTTTTGGATAATTTGTGGATTAATTTGGAGTACGTTATTAAGATCATTAATCACTCTTTTTATGGCAATTTAGATGAGTTGGAGGGTTTTTGTAACCCAGTTTCTTAGTTGTGTTCATTTGATTGTTGCTATTGTTTGCTTTGTGTGTCGATTTTAGTATGAATGGTCATCTGTTGAATGCAAAATGCGGTAGCTTTGGTAAAGGGTTTTGATTTGAGCTTCCAATAATGGAAAACCAAAGCTTTCTTGAGTTTTAATAACAATTTCAAGCTTGAAATTTGAGGATACCCAACCAGGCAACTCCTACAGCCTGTTGCTCCCCATTTGAGTTCAAGGAGCTGAAGAAGGCTAACTGAAAAGTCAGATTTGCCCCTCACGAATCTATGAGATTCTCAAAGATGCTTGCCACGTCATTATTTTAAACGGAAAAAACTAATGAACTTGACGGAAGGACTACTGATGCAACAAAGCACCTAGTTGAGTGACTCCAAAGTCAGATTTGCCCCTCACGAATCTATGAGATTCTCAAAGATGCTTGCCACGTCATCATTTTAAACGGAAAAAACTAACGAACTTGACGGAAGGACTACTGATGCAACAAAGCACCTAGTTGAGTGACTCTGGCAACTAATAATTGAATTGATGGATCAAAATGTAACTACGGGTATAGTTGAGGGACCATTACTGCGAATAACCCTCATACTTTTTGTACGAGACTTGTTGTCCTAAGATTAACGGGAAAGAAAACCAAAACGATGACGTCACGTCAATTTGTGTCCTAAACACAATTTCCAGTATTTTTATTTATTTATTATTCCTATTAATTAATTTAGAACCGCGATAAATTCTGAATATCGTCGTCATTTTTGACCCATAAACGGAAGCTTAATAAGTCCCTGCTTTGGCACTGTGTCGAAACCCACGCGTTCCTCACTACAAACAATCCACACCAACTCCACCTAAAATAACCAAAGCTCGCACCTATGGAGACCAAGGCGATTAGGGTTTTTCTCTTCGCTCTCCTCCTCATCGCAGCCCCTTTCCTCCAAGGTCTCTTTCTCAATTCCCAGATCTAGATCTATTTTCTTTTTGTATTGTCTCATTCATTTCGTCTGCTGAAATATGATTTTATGCATCGAAACAATTTACTGGCTAGTCTATGGTGGTTGCATGCTGGGTTTGACTTTGTTGATCCTTGCAAATGAGATCTGATTCGATTGCCTTTCGTTTTGACCGATCATGCGCTTTCAATTCGATGTTACATTGTTTTATTGGTTTGTGCTCGAATTTAAAATTTATTATTGATATGTAGCTTTGGGATGGCTTAGTTGAGTTTGTTGTTGACAATTTAATTAGTTGAAAGCGAAAATGCACCTTAAAAGTCGCCTTTTCAGCTAACATGCAATCGCTTTCGTGAGTTTTCTGAAAGCAACTTTATATTTGTTAATGAACTTTTTTTTCCCATGCCTTTTCTGCCAAAACATATGTAATGCTTGCATGCTGGGTTAGATAAGCATAAGTTGGGTCTTGAGTTCAATTGGTAGTTTTGAAGTGTGATCTACGTGTTTGATGAGGCTTTGCTGATTTAGATTAAGGATATTGGTAATGGTGGAATGCATGATGGTATTTACATGGATTTGATGTGAATTCGAAGCCGGTTGTACTGAATTTATGGTTTTTCCTCTTTATAGTCGCCAGGGGTGAGTCTGATTCGGAAGTGGATACTTCTGAAACCGTAGAAGAAAGCAGTGATCTCGGGATTGTTGGCGAGGATGTACAAGATTTTGGAGATGGAAATTTTAGCCCAGCTCCCGGTGTTGATACGATCTGTGTCTTCCCCAAAAACAGCGCTAAATGTGAGAATCTCATCAATATTGTACATAGAAAATTTGTCCCTTTTGTTTGGTTTTGAGAAGTGTGTTTTTACTGTGATCTTGTTTTTGCAGCGGTGACAGCAGGGGAAGAGACTGAACTATTGGTTGGACTGAAAAATGATGGTAATAAACATAAATTTTCTTATGTGATCGGACTCCCTCTTTCTCTGAGTGCAATGCAATGCTATGTTCAAAATGTTTTTGTCACCTTTATGGTGGTTCTGTGTTGCTGCATCCCTTTGAAAGAGCCAATTCTTGTTATGTGGTTGTGTTAGTGTACTTTTTTACTTAATTTTTCACAAATGTTTAGAGCATAGCTTAGTTGCTGTTTTGATGAAAAACCAGGGGAGTCAAGCTTGAATGTGATTGCAATCAAAGCCAGTGTCCATCTCCCTTTTGATCACAATCTATTGGTTCAGAATCTTACTGCACAGGTAATTTTTATTTTTTAAACATGTTTTTAGAATGTAACAACATTTCATGACGATTTGTCTTTTCTATTAACGATTGAAGATATTTGATTTCCATATTGCAGTATCTTTTTATTGGCGTGCTTCTTGAAATATTGCTCTGTAGTTACATGTAATTTATTTTACAAGCGAAGGATATGTATGTTTAGCAAATAATAGTTTGTTAGTATCACTATTTTCAACATTGGCTAGATATCCATGTGCAGCATAAGTTTGTTATATGAATATCTTATCGATAAGTTTGTTATATGAATATCTTATCGATAAGTTTGTTATATGAATATCTTATCGATCTTAATGAGAGATCTTTTCATAACTGACCTGATAAAGATCATACCCTTCAATGCCTATTTTTTAGCACCTGACATGGGGCCTGAGAAATGGCGTCCATTCATCTAATTTTGTAAAAATTCCTATCCTCCATTTGAATCTTAAGCGGATGAGGGCTGATGATCACATTGAATAGATGTTCAATGTTGCAAATATATTTCGAAGTTCAATCAAGAACATTGTGAGTGATGAGAGGGCAGTTTTGGTCTTCAAGTAGAAGATTCACGTTTTGCCCTATAGGTGGCGTTGAACTGATTCATTTGAAAGTATGGGTGCTTCATTACTTTGTGTGGTTTTGACATGTTTCATAACCAAAAGCTTATTCCTTCATTTGTTTGTAAAGGGCATTACCATTGGGTTGGTTTTATATTTTTCCTGCACCATTCGATGCTTTCTAGGTTGTAAACCCTGTCTCTTTGGTTTCATCTTGTGAATTTTGTGTTATGCTTTGCATTAAAATTGCTTCAGGCTATTTTTTTGTTGTTGTTATTTTGCCAGTTGTATTTAACAGTGTTGGTTTAATTGTAGGCTTTTAACAATGGGTCAGTTCCAGCTTCGGCTCAGGCTACTTTCCCATACATATTTGCTGTCAGCAAGTTCTTGCAGGTACTTGCGTTCCTATGGAAGTTCTATGCATTGCTATTAATTAACATCTGAAATTGCTCGCATTTGCAGTCATCTTTACTTTCAAACGCATTTACATATATGGAGAGGTTAAAAAGTTATGGTTGGCCTGAAGCGATTTATTTGTATTGTGCAGCCTGGAACTTTTGATCTTGTGGGTACCGTATATTATGAGATAGACCAGCAACCATACCAGAGCACCTTCTACAATGGTACCATTGAAGTTGTTGAGGCTGGTGCTTTCCTGAGCATTGAGTCTGTTTTTCTTGTCACACTTGGATGTGCCCTTCTTGTCCTCCTAGGTCTATGGATTCATGGCCAAATACAACACCTGTCCAAGGTATTGAAACTTATTTGTAAGTTTGTTTTATTGCTAACACACTCTTGAGATAACTATAAGAATATACGTATAATATCCCATGGTTATATATGCAATGATGAGAAAAGACAGGAAAGCTCGTCAAATTTTATCCTTTCATCTCCTCAAGGCTCTTAGTTCTCATAGTTATGTGTTTATTATCAACTTTGTTCGTTTTTCTCATAGTTCTGTTTTTTGTGGTTTTATGGTTAGAAAACCAAGAGGGCTCCCAAGGTGGAAGTTGGAACCAGGGCTACAGATGCCTCAATGGATGAATGGCTTCAGGTATGCAGTTGATGCTGAATCATTGTACTAAAAGTTTCCCACAATTTCTTATCTGTTCACTTGTTTCATTAATTTTCGGATTTTGTTTTTCCAACTGTTCAAATGTGGGCTCTTACAATTCAAAACATTTTTTTTTATAGATTTAGATCTATCGTTGACCAAGTAGTGCCCTCATATAAATTTTAAAACTTGCTGTTCAAAACCACATTATGTGTGTTTTAAATGAGTTGCTTCTTGTATAGCTTCAAACATGTGTTTATAACCTTAGTCTATATTTTGTGAATAGGGGGATTCGGCTAAATTTTTTCATGTTGAGCTACAATCATCTGTTCTTGTAATTTAGGATATGTCTAGAATCAATCCTGATATGTTTCTCTTTGCCGCTTTTGATGGTCAGGGAACTGCATATACTCAGTCACTCAACAAATCATCAAAGAAGAAGAAATAGATTACAGAATTTGGCGCAGTTCATCTGCACAGGACATTACAGTGAAGTGCAGACTCTTGTAACTCACGCTAGGGATGTGGAGATATTTAAGAGAGGGGGAAAACTCCAGCTAGTTATGGAAATTAGACCAGAAAAAACGGAGAAAAAAAACCTTGCCTTGGTGTTGTAGACTTGAAAGAATTTTTTACATTTCATTTTTAGAGATGAAGTTGAGAAGTAAAACTAACGCAGATTTTATGTTAGGAATCATACAATTTTGTTGAAGCTATACAATTTTCCTTGAGATCTCTCATTTTGTTCCAAAATTTGCATGGATTTGGCTTACTTGTGGGTGAAATTAAAATTGGTTTTTTGCTTCATGTATCTTTGATGATATGTAAAGACCGAATGAGGTTTTCTGGTGAGACTGCTGCAGCATGGAAGCTGAAATACTTGCAGCTACTTTCTGTTTTTCAACCATGGAATTTATGCAATAGTGGCAATACTTTGTTGTGAGAAATTTTATTTAATTTTTCTTTTTACAAAGCTGTATTCTAAACATGATCGAGATTTTATAGATGATTTTTATAAAATTAGCGTCAGATTATGTCTACTTTGGTTTAAGACAATATCCGATACATTGTCTCAAGTGGTGGTAAATTAGATCAATTAACGTTAGTTGGCCTGCCAAATATTAGGAACAATTGAGTTGAGTTGTCCTCACTGATGTATCAGTATCATGATTTTAATGTTGCTCACCAATCTTGTCCTGACTGAACTGAATGAACATTTTATTGCAATAGTACTGAGGACTGTAAAAAAATTTCACGTTCAAACTTCGGGGGCATAAAATGATGTAGGTTTACTTGATACGTGTGGTTTATGAATGATCATGGGCGAATAGGGTTCAACAGTCTTGTCACCTATTAAATTGTTGGGAGATTCACTATTATACCCAATATAAGAGCCCAAATTATAAAAAAATCATATATAAACGGACTTTACAAACATACTCAAAGCCCATTTACAACATAACAAAAAGGCTTTTAACTTCTTTTAAATTACAAAACTGCCATTGCTTTCTTAAAACAAACCCAACCTCAAAATCTCATTAAAAAAAAAAGCCCAAAACACTTAATAGGGCATCAAAGTAATTTAATAATCAAAATTCAATTCAATGGGGCCAGCTGTCATTTTTTGGATTTTTTTATAGTTTGTTTATAGAAATTAAATGGTATATGGTTTATCTATATTATTAGTGCTAAGAATGGGTATATGACTAAATATCTCTAAATTGTTCTAGCAACCAATTTGTTGTTTTTTTTGGGCCTTTAAAAAATTAGGCTTTTGTTCACACATGATCCTATAGGTTTACAAAATTGTCACGAATGGTCCTTGAGGTTTTTTGTGTGACAAATAGTCCTTAATGTTAGGGCTTTTCATCATAAATGGTCCATGCCGTTAGAAATTATGTTAAAAGTGATGTGGAAGATAAGTAGAGCCCATATATCTAATCACATTGTAACATGAGGATGAAAAAAATAAATAAATAAATTTTAAACTGAAAATTCCTTCTTTTTTTTTGCAACTTTTCATCCCCCTCCCTCTACTCCGTCTCGCTCCCCCTTTGCCCTTGCTCTCCACCCTCTCCCCCTCTACTCTCCATCTCTCCTCCCTGTCCTCTTGTTCTCCCTATGTTTTTTTCTTGCATGCTGCCACCCGCAAGAAAAAATATAAGATAACAGTGGTATAGAGAACGTATAGTTATAAAACTATATCTTTGTGGTAGAGAAAGGAATGTATAGTTGTATATCATATAAAATAATATAATCCATTTTCAATTAAAAAAAATATAACCCATATATCTCTGTACATCTTTGCATAGTTGTATATCATAACCCACAACCTGGGAATCTCCCTCTGTTTTTTTCTTGCCCACTGCCACCCGCAAGAAAAAATAGTCTCTATTTTTTTAAAAGTGCCATCGGCAACCCACGCCCAACTCCCCTACCATCTCCCTCTGTATTTTCTCTCATCCTCTACTCTCCCCCTCTCTTTTTAATTATTTTAAGTTGTTTGAATAAATGTTTTTGTGAAAGGAAATGTGAAACTGCCTTGTGCAAGTGATTATTTTGCAAAATATACGGAGGGAAAGGGGTAGGGTTGGGCGTGGGTTGCGGGTAGGGATGGGGTGATCTAGTTGTAGAGGCAAGAAAAAAACAGTGGGGAGAGGGAGAGCATAGGGAGGAGAGAGGGCAGAGGGAAAGAGAGAAAGGCTAAATGGTATTCTTTAAAAAAAATATTTATTTAATTCACTTGTCACGATGTGATTGGACATGTGGACTCCACTTATCTTCCACGTCAAACACTTAACATAATTTCTAATTGCTGGGACCATTTGTGATAAAAAAGCCTTTACGTTAAGGGCTATTAATGTCACAAAAAAACCCTTAAGGACTATTCGTGACAATTTCATAAACCTCAAGGATCATTTGTGATAAAAAGCCAAAAAATTAAGGTGGGGACGTTCCTTTGAGAACTTCTTACATCTTGTTTTCACAAAGCAAAATTTATGAATCTGCCACTGCCCGATAATTGTAGGAATTCAAATTTGATCTTCAAAGCTGTGTTTGTGTAAAACATTGTTATATCAGTTATAATATAACTTTTTTTTGGCAAGTTTTCTGGTGGTGGTCCTTTACCTTCTGTAACCTCATAATTGGCAAGTTTTCTGTTTTTGGCCTTCGAAGTTAATAACTTAATATTGTAAGATACCCATCAACTTACCTTTCCCACTGGTCTGATTGCTCTACTTTGAGCAGCCCCCTACTTTTTTACCCATCTGCCCTATGCTTCCACAGTTTTGGAACCCCACCATCATGCACCGTGCACGTATGCAGTAAGTAACCAAATTATAAAAAAAAAACAAAATACAAGCGATATTGGGGATGGGAAATCGACTCTACGACCTCGGGTGCAAGGGTAAATGCTCTTAACACTTGAGCTACAAATCCCTCTATAATAACCAATTTTAAATTCGACATAGAGAAAAATGGGGTAGGCTGCAGGCTTCAATTCTAATTTCCAACTGCACCAGTCTCCCATTTTAATTCTTTTTAATAGGGATATGATGAACGTGTACACATTTAATAAACATGGACTTGGACCTGTGATATGATGAACTTGGCTGGTTTTTGTAGTGTGAAATGATCACGTGAAGTAGATATGTGCCTCAGATCAATTATGCAAATGCTACAATTTTTTTCTCCTTTTAGGCTTCCCAACTGTGAGAAATTAAAGCAACCCAATGAAACAAAATATGGGAGCAACAATCATATACAGAAAATACTTGTCTTTCTTCTTTCGAAAATAGAAACTCATACTTTCTTATCAATTATAGTTAGACGCGTGTGCCAAAATTTTTTTGATGTATTTTTTATGAACTGCTTTTGCATATATGTGACTTGTATTACTGTAGCCAAATTATCAGAGGCAAGTAAAGGGTATGGATTATTTTGGTAATTTAAACATGGGTTTGTGTAAAAAGGAAGGTATTAATGTGCGCTGAATGAGTAGGTTTAGACAGATAAGAACACAAAACTCATTAAGCTTTGCAGTTGGGCGGTCATTGAATGAAAGATAATGGCATATGGGGGGGTGAAGCCGCTCTGCACGTTACTGTCATTTTCTTCTCCCCTAAACGTAAGGTCATCTCTAAAAGGGAGGGTCCCTAACCTCATGTGAAGCCCTTAACTTCAGTGTCGGTGTGCCTTTAAATCAAAACCTTAAGGACACTATATATAATAATGCTTGTAAGCTCTGTAATACCATAAGCTTATAGAATTAAGCTGTTTTCTTTTCCTTCCTATTCTTTGTTGGGGTGTGGTTCCCAATGAAGATTTTTCCTCTCTGTCAAGAAGCACTTTTGCAGAAGTGCTTCTTGTTGTCTTTGCTTTTTGTGAGCTTTTGTTATGCTGAACATAAGACAGTTGAGGTAGTTGGGGTTGGAGAGTGTACTGACTGTGCTAAGAATAGCATTAAGACTAGCCAGGCCTTTTCAGGTAGTATAATTTCTGGTTGCATTTCGCTGTCTAAGTTGCTTAATACTCTGATGAATTCTTCATTTGCCATGCATTTCTAAATTTGATAGTGTTAAAAATTACCATGTATTAAATTGCTGTGTCTGTGTGAAACTTGAAAAAGGGTCAAACAAAGTGACTGGTCCAGCTGGTTTGATACTGGGGAACAATTTTCCTTTTTATTTGGGATTTCTTGGGGTTACTTATTTGGCTCAGATGGTCCCTGATCATCAAGAGTTTGATCCCAAGTAACCCAATTCTTGTAGCATCAAGGTTTTATTTCTGCGGGACATGTCATGTGGTAGAACACTTACACTAAACTCTCGCCCTCTCTCTTGAATAAAGAAAACAATACAGGCTTAATCAAAATTAGCATTGTTATTAACTTATTTATAATCAAAAGCACCTCTTTCAAAAGTCTTCTGATGAAGAAATACAATAAGTGACCTTTGTTAATTTCTTTTGCAGGTCTTCATGTGACAATTGACTGCAAGCCAGCAAATGGGCACTTCAAAACAAGAGGGTTTGGGGAGCTCAATGAAGAGGGAAAGTTCAAAGTGTCCCTTCCCGAGGAGATTGTGAAAGAAGGAGATGATGAACTAAAAGAGGAATGTTATGCCCAACTTCACAGTGCATTGGCTGCACCTTGTGCTGCCCATGATGGCCTAGAATCTTCCAAGATAGTCTTCAAGTCCAAGACCAGTGAAGGAAAACAAACCTTTGGAGTGGCTGGTGGCAAACTTAAATTCTCACCAGTAACATGCACTTCTGCCTTCCTTTGGCCTCACCCACACCCACTCTTTGGACACCCATTACCTCCATTCCCACCCAAGGTCTTCCCTCCTTTCCCACCTAAAGTCTTCCCTCCAAAAGTACCAATCTTTAAGAAGCCTCTTCCCCCACCAGTCCCAATTTACAAGCCTCTTCCTCCACCAGTTCCAATTTACAAGAAGCCTCTTCCTCCACCAGTTCCAGTCTACAAGAAGCCTCTTCCTCCACCAGTTCCAGTTTACAAGAAGCCTTTGCCTCCTCCAGTGCCAATCTACAAGAAACCACTTCCACCAAAAGCACCAAAACCACCAAAGAAAGTTTGTCCACCAGTTCCTGTGTTCAAAAAGCCACTTCCACCACCAGTCCCAGTATACAAGAAGCCACTTCCACCACCAGTCCCCATATACAAAAAGCCACTTCCACCACCAGTCCCCGTATACAAAAAGCCACTTCCACCACCAGTCCCCATATACAAGAAGCCACTTCCACCACCAGTCCCCACATACAAAAAGCCACTTCCACCACCAGTCCCCATATACAAAAAGCCACTTCCACCACCAGTCCCCATATACAAGCCACTTCCCCCACCAGTCCCAACTTTCCAAAAGCCACTTCCACCTCCCATCCCATTTTACAAGCCAAAGCCACATCCATTCTTTAAGCCTCACCCTCCATTGCCAAAGATTCCTCCATTCTTCAAGAAACCACCACTCCCACCACTCATTCCTAAACACCCTCTTCTTCCCAAGCTTCCTCCTATCCCCAAAATCCACCCAAAATATTACTTCCCCCACCCAAAGATTGGCAAGTTGCCACCCCAGCCACCTTTGGCTCCTCAATATCCTTAGGCTGTTGCAGACTTGCAGTACTATTTTTTCCAGTTGTAAGTAGGATCATGGATGTTGTGTGGTGAAACAAAGTGGAAGTTCAAGTATGGAATTTAATTATCAAAATAAGTTAAACCTTCAAGCCTTATAGAGAAGTCAAGATCAGAGAGAGAACTCAGAGAGTGGAACTGAAACGTTGTTTCCCTTACTCTATTTATTTATGAAATCAACTTGTGTGGTAATCCCAGTGTTTATAAATTTTCAGATGCTAATTAATCGTGTCATTTCGGGTTCATATTGAATGCTAGTTAATCATGAGGCGACATGATTAATCACTCATAATTAACAATAAATCGAAGTTTGTTTACTAATCGGGGTCCCATAAATTAGAAACTTCATACTCAAATTGTGTCAAGTAAGATGAATTCTAGTCTCATGTTATTGCACGTGCCTTCTAACTAATCACCATGCACCTACATAAACAAACACATAATTATATAAGTGATTTTGCATCTCAATTATAGCTTGTGCTAGTAACTGGTAACCAAGAACCCTCATGTGCATGTATAGTTAAGAAACCAACAACCTCAAAAGGATCTCTCTCTCTCTGACAAAATAAAGCTCAGTTCTCATTTATTGAACTCCCTTTCCTACGAAGGAAGTACATTTATTTTCAAAGAAACCCTTCAAAACCAAAAACCCCTCAAAGCAATTGTGAAATTTTTTATGATATGTCGGCATATGCGATATGTCGGCATGGTATTACAAATTCACTCAAATTACAATACGGATATAACTGTTACAACCCCGAAACTATAAATTCTATAATAAAAACATCCTGTATATGCAAATTAATCTACCTTTCATTTTCATTTGAGTTTCTTCTCCATTGACGAACAAAGCACAAGATCCAAATATCGGATATTGTTGTCGTTTTCAAAGGGGCTCATTTCGCCGAGCTATATTTGTAGTCGACATGTTGCGTGTCTCAACTCAAACCAATTATTTATGGGTCGTTTTCCGTACTCCATAAAGAAGTAGCTAGATGGGATGGTGACCATGCAACATAATTTATATTCGTAGACTTATCAATTATGGAACCATCGAATGACATAAGTTAACCGTCTCTTGCCATAGCACATGGGTGGCGCCACAGTGGAAAAATGGGCAAAACTCTCTTCCTACCCCTAAAATGCATCCGGTTCGATTCACGTAAGAGACAATCTTAAGGCAACCACATATAATATTCCCTCCCTCCCCCTTCCTAATGAATGACACCAAAAAAAAAAAAAAACATCTTTTGCCATATTTTTTTCCCTCAATGAGAATACATATATAGACAATTAATCAGCGTTGTAATATACAAAGAAGTTGTTATTGGCAATTCAAAAATGTTTACTCCTCTCACGAAAAAAAATTAGTTAACATTGATTACAACGAAAATTTTTATTTTAAAGAGTTATTTACACAAACAACCCCTCAAGTTTTCGGCTTTTTCACAAAACCCTAGAGATTTTGAAAATTACACGAACACCCCCGAGGTTTTAAATTGTTTCCACAAAACCCCTTTTCATTGATTTTTCGTCCAAAGATGGATGATTTTATATATAAAAAAATTATCCAAAAGACAGAATTAACCTTTGAGATTAGATTGCACATACATTCACTAAGGTTGCTTTTGTCATTTGCACACATTAAAAAAAATATATATAAAATCATCAAGTTTTGGAGGAACAATCAACGAAAAGGGGTTTTGTGAAAACAATTTGAAACCTTAGGAATTTGACCCTTTTACTTGCTAATTTACAGATACAGCAGGCTTTGTGCTTATGCACAATCCAAACTTGCTAACATCCTACATGCTAACGAGCTTTCGCGGTGTCTGTAGGTATTGAACATTTTAATGACATCCCATCATTTATGCCTAATTTCTATGGAAATATATTGCATGTATCTATATCTTCTTGGTTGACTTGGTAACTTATTTTTGAAACATCAACTATACAGGAAGAAGAGGTGTTCATGTAATTTATGAAACCTTAAAAGGATTTTGTAAAAAATAAAAAACTTGAAGGGTTGTTAGTGCAAATAACTCTCTTTTAAAATGTTTTGGAATAAATTTTGTGCATCGTGTATGACTGTCCTTTTACACATGATAATAAAAGGATTTTATAGTAAAACTACAAATGATAACATTTTTACACACCCACACAAAGAAACACGAATATAAAAAATTTATTTCTATAATACTTCAATCAAAAAAAATTTATTATTAAAGATCATTCTCCTAAAAATTGACATGGTTGTCAAGAAAAAAAAAGACATATATATTTCTTGATATGTTAAAAAAAAATACAGTTATTGAACATTATCAATTAGCTATTAGTCTGTATTTCTCTTCCAAATATTATAAAATGTCTCAAATTCGAATTATCTTCTCACTTTGATTTGAAAAAAAAAAACTCAACACTTTCCAAATTATATTAAAAAGTTCAAAAAGCAACGAAAATCATTAGAAAATTATAATTTAACTCGGGCTAGTTAGACTAACCCAAACTCAACCCAACAGAGCCCAACAGACTTGGACTGAACCGAAGGCTACCATAGTCAAGTTCGAGCCCAATTGAAAATCTGCGTTCTTCTTCTTCTGACCCCAAAAAAATAAAGTCCAAATTATTGCCAAATTCAGGTGTATTTTTATTTTTATTTCTTCAATCGCAGGAAGCGCGAAAAGAATCAAAATTCGTAAAGTAAAAGCCCCATAATTTCTGTGTTTCTGCTTCTGAAACTAAAAAACTGAAAAACCCTCTTCTAGGGTTTAAGTTCAACGGTCAGAGCTTTCAGGCTCTTCAATGGCCAGCCCTAAGTCCGTCGACGCCTCTCTGTGGTGGGACCCTTTCTCTGTTTTACTCACTGAGCTCGAAAATGCGTCTCTCTCGTCCGACCTCCCTCCCAATTTGGTAATCTCTCCTTTTCTCTCTCTCTCTCTCTCTCTCTCTCTCTCTCTCTCTCTCTCTCTCTCTCTATATATATATATATATATATATATATATATGTACAGTTATCTCTATCCCTCTATTCATGCATGCATTTGTGCGAAAGTAAGTAAGTGTTTTGAATTTGGTTGGTGTTTTGTTTAGGTAAAGAAATTGAAGGACAATCATGCTTGGTTTGTGGACACATTGTCTCACTTCAAGCCGCCCAATGAGAATTCAAGAGAGGCTTTGAATTCACAGCAAGTGAAAATCGGGTCTCACCAGTTGGATATAAAACCTGAATTGAAAGATAATGCTTTGAAAATCAGCTCATATTTGGTGAGTTTGTACTACTGCTTTCATGCCATTTTCACAATTGAAATATGTATGCGTGTAGTGTTTATATATGTACGGATGTTGGATTTTTTATATTATAAATATTATTTTCAGAAATTGCGTTAATCTATAAATTTGTGGCAATTTTTGTTTCTTGCTTTTGGGTTCTCTGTTAACTTTCATTTGGTTTTGGATTCTCAATTAGTGACTCGTAAAACTAATCATATGAATTATAAAGTTGATTCAGAAGAAACTTATTATGGGTTTGGCAAGTTCCACGTGCAAATTTTCAACCAAAGTTACTGCTTGGTTGATTTAATAGTATGTTATTTTCTTCATGTTATGGGAAACAGATAGATAATGATGTTCTCCATAACATAAAGCAGATGCTACTGATGGTCTTATTGATTGCCCTAGATAATGATGTTCTCTATAACATAAAGCAGATGCTACGATGGTCTTATTGATTGCTCATTTACTACAAAACTTACTTTTTTGTTTGTTTTAGTGTCTAGATGAGGTGCAATCGTACATTCTTGTTGAGAGGTCTTTCAAGAACAACAACGTAGCTCTTGACTCTATAGTTCACGAGTATTTTCATGCGGTTAGTATCTCACTCATATTGTCTGACTGATACATATGTTGAATGCTATAGTTCTTATGTTCAACGTACCTGGTGTAAGGGGTGGATGAGTTGAGTGTAAATGTCAAATTTTTGCTGCTTGCAGAAAGTGGATATTTTTTGATCAAACAGAAAAAGAAATTGGACATTTACTTTGTTGCATTTAGTGTTAGTGTATCATTCTCAGTTTTTTCTTCTGTTTTTCCCACTTCCCTTCTCTCTTATGCAGGTATGTATTGACTATTACATTGAGCGACAGTACCTGCTGAAATGTACCAGGAGAATTCTCGCACATGCTTGTAAGTCAATCATTAGTCCCTCCCTCCTTCTGTTGGCATCATGTTTTTTTCGCTAAGGCTGAACTTCAACAACGTTTGAGAATTGATCATTAATGCAGTGTCTTTAGGAAGTGTCTCTGGAGAAGGTAATGCTATGAAGGAGGAGGCGCTAAAGTTGATTTCTGATGGATTGGAGAGGAAGCTGTTATCCGTGCTGCAAGACCTTTTATCCTCTAATCACCCTGAACAAATGGTATGTTCAAATGCCAATTAGGTGTAATAATTACCCCTTTAAGTTTATAGATCTTTGCTCCGTAGTAGACCAATTAGGTTGTTTTTGTCCTCTTCAGGCGTGCTTTTTCATTCTTATGGGTTGTGCTGTGCTAAATTATGAAGTTAATTGAAGTTGAAATTACATCTCACTGCATGCTTGACCATCTTCGGCTACAATGTGGATACTGGGGTATTGGAAGCTGACGAAAAACTCTTTAGTATATTATCATTTACCAGGTTGCGTATTTATATTTGATAGCATGTTGAAGGAGGTTATGTTAAGCAAAATTGAGGTAGTAGTGGCCTAGTGAGAGTGGTTGCTATAACAACTGCTGGAGGAAGTTTTAAACCAGTTATTGACAAATAACAAGTCCCTGTGGCTGTGCGATGTGAAATAGCCTAAGAAACATGTATTTGGGTGTGGAATATCTATTTGGTCGTCCCTGTATTACATTCATATGATGCTTTAGGACAGAATAGGTGAAATTATCCTCGTTTATTCTGCTGAATTGCAATCTTATGTTTCCTTAATTACGTTTGAGATTGTATGTCGATGCCCATGTAAAGGGATGTTATTGACATAGGTGTATGCATCTCCATGCATGCTTTTATTTGAAGAATATAGAATTGAATCATTTTGTATTTGTTTACAAAGCCCTAATGTTAACTTGTCTGGGTGCTTTATTAGGATATTGACCTTTTCACTTTGTGGGCTGAGGAGACACTAGTTGAAGACAATTTAGTTTTGGACATTCTTT